CAGTAGAATGGAAACTTGTCTTTAGTCTGTGCATCTCCCGCTTGGATGTGGAATCGGTGATCATGTGAGCATAGAAAACCGAGACTGTACTCCCCAGCTAGGCATCCATGGAGCTCTTCCTCTGTCATGGGAGCAACCTCTGCTGAGTCATGCTAATCACAGCTTTATCTCTGCCAGGGACTAGCTCAACTTCTGCTGAGTCATGCTAATCACAACTTTATCTCGGTCTTGTCACCTTGATGCCTTGTTGCTGGCCCTACTTAGCTAACTGCTCCACCTGCAAACACATAACTAGAATTTGCTGGGGCTTCTGATAAGAGTTGTAGGGTTCTTACTCTCAATACTGTTTTCTAGCACGGGAAATTCCTGTCTCATTAAGTCTTAGGCTTACAGAATAAAAGGAAATACCTTTTTCTACACCTGTGTGATCTCTGACAACACAGTTTCTTATTTGTGATATGAGTATTTTTCTACTCAGCAAGTGTATGACAACAAAGTTAAAAATAACTTTGGTGGTGGTGCCTAGCTATCATCCTGGCACTCAAGAGGATATCTCTGTGAGTTGAGGTCAGCCTGCTCTGCAGAGTGAATTCCAACACAGTCAGGGCTACACAGTTAGACCCTATATCAATAATAATAAGAAGAATAACAAAAATAACGGCAGCAACAACAATAAAAATGTGACTGTAAAGGTTGTCATCCCAACCCAAAGTTAAGATTTCCTTTGTTCAAACCATCGCTATATTCCAGGTTTGCTGTGCATTATCTTATGGGAAAAAGCATCTTGTGTTGTGGTTAGTATTTCGAGAGTTGTCCTTCCACCCACGATCTTTCTGTTAATTAACATTTTTTCCTTTATTTTACATACAGACCACAGTTTCTGTCCCCTTCTCTCCTTCTGTTTCCACCCCTTGCCATTTCCCAACTACAACCCTCCCTGTCTGCCCACTCCTCCTCTGTCTCCATTCAGAAAGTGGCAGACCTCCCATGGTCTTGAACATAGCATGGCACATCGAGTTGAGATAGGACCTATCTACATCCCCTTTATAAGGGCTGGGCAAGGTAATCCAGCATGGGGAACAGGTTCCCAAAAGCCAGTTAAACACCAGAGACAGGTCCTGATCTCACTACTAGGAGCCTTACAAACAGACCAAGTTACACATCTGCCACACACATGCAGAGAGCTTAGGTCGGTCCCATGCAAGCTCCCTAACTGTTGGTCCACAGAGTCCATGTGTTCCCAGGAACTCAGGTCAGCTGTCTCTGTAGGTTCCTCCATCATGACCTTGACCGCCCTGACTCGAACTCATCACTTTCTTCAGGAGGACTCCTAGAGCTCGGCCCACTGCTTGGCCACCCATGATCTTATCACATCATCCCAACGCAGAACACTGCAATGCAAACACTATTGTGTTTTACCTGCTGTGAAAATTATCTCAAACAACAAGACATGAAGCTAGTTAGTTCCTGCATTACTCTAACTAGCCTTTTCAATGTGGTAACAACCTTCACATTCCTAATGCTTCATTAATTTTTCTTAAATTTATAACTTATTTTTGCCATCTCATTTTGCTTTATACATTTGTATACTTAAAACCCACAGACAGAGTGGCAGTGTGATCACTGTGATATATTTTCAGGTTGTCTTCAATTAACTAATTTCTTGTACTGTTGTGTTAATTCACTTTCTAGAGGATACAAGGAAGGTATCTTTATAATATTAATTACTAGAGTTTTCTACAGTCCTAACTTCACCTTTTAGATCTGAAAGACTTTTCTGTTGTTAGTCTCTGACTCTTTTTACATGTTATTGCTTTTGATATTGCTCTATGACGATTCTAGATATTGTAGCCCTATATCTACCTTTCTAAAGGAGAGTGTCTAAATGCCCTGGTGTCTCACAAGTGCTAACTCACCTGATGCCTGCAGAGTGGTAAAAATAAAAGACCAGAACAACTCAGTCTACTTTGCTTTTTTTCTATCTAGCTTTGGCATAATTCTTGGCTAGCTCTGGTAATTTAATTGGGTTAAAATAGGTTTAGTTTATTTGTGATACTACTAGTAAACTAGACCTTCTCATATACTCTGTATTTACTGACATATACCAATTGCATAAAATACCTGGTTTCATTGGTTTCAGTACATTCACACAGTCCACTCTAGCATTTTACCTACACCCAAGTTTGCTCTTCTCCCTCTTCCTTGTACTTCTTCCCACTGCCTTTCCCAAATGCTTCTGTTGCTTTCATCTGACATACTTTTTAAAGGCTTATTTCTTCTTATTTATGCATATGAGTGTTTACCTGTATGCATGTATGTGTACCATGTGTCTGTCTGATTCCCTAGAAGGCCAGAATAGATGTTGGAACCCCTGGAACTGAAATTACCATTAGTTGTGACCCTCCGTGTATATGCCATAATCCAATCCTGATTTGTGCAGAAAGCACCTGGTACTTTTAACCAGTGAGCCATATCTCCAGCCCTTTGTCTTGTACACTCTTGAGCAAATCCTTTCTCCCTGAAGTGTGAAGCACTTTCAAAATGTGCATTTGAAAAATTAAAATCATCATCTTGCTAGCCAATGGAATTACTGACCAACAGTATGATGATAAATTAATGACAGTCACCCACACACGTGTAGTAGTATATTATTTGTATTTTGATAAATAAATCTTGCCTGAAGATCAAAGGCAAAGCTAAAGCCACTAGAGGTCAGGCAGTGATGGCACATACCTTTAATCCCAGTTTTTGGGAGACAGTCATATGGGTCTGTGAGTTCAAGGCTACCCTGGGCTACACAAGATCAATGCAGAAACAAATTCAGGTGGTGGTGGCTCATACCTTTAATCCCAGTCTAGGATGTCGCAAGCCTTTAATCCCAGCACTAGAGTGAATATAAAATGGGAGGAGAGAGAGGCTTAGTCTGCTTTGTTTATGGTCGCCCCAGCCTTGAAAGAGGTAAGACTTCTCTAGTGGCTTGGCAGCCTTGCTTTCCTGGTTTTGGGGTTGAACCCCAATTTCTGTTTCTGGGTTTTTATTATTTGTGCTACACACAAGCAGTTGGTTTTTTCATTGAATTTACTATCCTCAGAGCAGTGTAGATAGCTCGTGAGGGTATTACACATTGCTTGACATATACATACAAATTAATCTGTATCACAGTCCCTGGCAAGTTCCATATCACTCAGCTGGAACTGGGAGTTTAAGGCAGCAAATATACGTAAAAGTCCAGCTGGGAGGGAGATGGTGTGTGTCAGAATACATGGGCAAGATGAGCTACATCCTACAAGGTTATTCTTTACCAAATATTTCATCTTTTTCTGATTCTCAACCAGTGGATCCTGATAATTATATTTACCTTCTGAGAATGAGAGATTTAAAGAAAACTCAGGAATACAAATCCTTGTACTTGGTACATTTACGTTTCCACCTAAAACACCTTTTTCACAGCACTATCCTTAGTTCCAAAAATGCTAATAATAGAAAGCTTTTAACTTCCGCCTTGGGTCAGTTCTCCTGACCTGGTCTTCTGACAGTCTGACTCTCTTCTCCCTCAGTAATGCCTGAGAGTCAGAGACCTCATACTTTTTGTGCTTCTCTGTAACTCCCGTGGGGAAGCATGACCTGAGTCTTACATTGTAACCTAAGCTCTCATGAAGAGGTCCCATATTTGGTGAAGGTCATTGGTCCAAGCAGCACTGGTTGTCTTGGGTATTCCCACAGTTGCTTCCTGTGATCTTTGTTATGCCAACCAAATACACTGCTTCTTGTTCCCTCTGATCACACTATTACTATAGTGCATTAAATGTACTTGTAAAGATACACCCGGATTTCCTTAGCTTTATGATTCGGTTCCATTTTGTTATTCCCCAACCGCCACATGCACAAACCAGGAGATATGCTCTTTGGCAAATGAGGTTCAACTTAGTAATTGACAAGTTAATTTTAAAACTCACTGAATTAATATAGTCTCACTTTTAAATTTATTGTTTTTAGCTACTTTGTTTTAACTCATTCAATACAATAAAACTTAGTTCAAATTCATTTGAACTCATCAGGTTTTTTTTTTTTTCCAATTCACTAAATGTTTCTATTCAACTACTGTTTTTAAACAACTAATGAATCTTTTCTCTGGTTCTCTTGTGCAAGTGAGGTATTTTTTTTTCCATGCAAACCTTAATGTATAATTGTCCTGTCTCTCCTTTATCTTTCTTTGTGATTCACCTTAACAGACACTGGTTACTTTGTGAGTTGAGGGGAAGGGAGCATGCATGTATGTGTGAAAAGAATAGATATCAGCTCAGCTCTTCCTTAGTGAAATTCTTTACATTGTAAGCTGTATTTCAGAGACTGTCATCCAATTCAAGCAAGCTAGAAGTCTTTTCAGCACTGATGCAGCAGAGGTTCATTTATTTAATAGTAAGTTGACATTTCTTCTCCTAGTACCACAAAAATAAATGAATAAATAAACATCTCTTTGTACTGTGAGTGCTGGAGAGCCAGCAGTAAGACAAGCATCCTGCCTTTAGCCCAGACTTATTCTAGCAGAAACTGATAAACTTCAAATAAGTCAGCTACTCAGTCTGCAGATATGACATTCGGTTTGCTGATTCAGAACTTCAAGGTCATATCTACTACCTTGTTTGGGTTTCATTACTGTGAAGAAACACCATGACCACAGCAACTTTTATACATAAAAATCATGTGATAGGGGTGTCTTACATTTTCAGAGATTTAGACCATTATCATCATGGTACAACATGGTGATGTCCAGGCAGACACAGTGCTGGAGGAGGAGCTGAGAGTCCTATATGTTGACTAACAGGCAATAGTAAGTAGTCTGAGACACTGGGCATAGCATGAACGTATATGAGACCTCAAAGCCCACTTGCACACTGTTAGGCTTCCTCCAACAAGACCATACCCACCCTAACAAAGCCACACCTCCTAATAGTGCCACTTTCTTTGGGGGCCATTTTCTTTTAAACCACCACATCAGCAATCTTATTTTCTGTAGTTTTGAGTCTGATTTAGTGTCAAAATACCCCCTCATCCTGAGAGGGTTATATGGCGAGTTCCATTTTGCAATATAAGACAGGAAAGATGATAGCATCCTAAAGTCAAGCCTTCTTGTTACATTGGGATTATTTTATGGTCACTATCATAAAAGTCACCATTCGACAGAAATGCATTGTCCACTATATTAGTCAGGGTTCTCCCATCTTCTAGATTTACTGATTTCCCCCAAGAATGATCTTAAATTGAAAAGATGGAGACATAAAAGAATTGTGGATGTCTACTCCAATAGAGAATCAAAAATGTAAAATTAACTATTAGAGGAATGCTCCCGAAGCAGCCTCTTTTCTTCCTGGGGAGAGGTCTCCATTAGGGGATCTCTAACCTGAGTCTTATAGGTAACAGAAGGTACAACACACTTCCTTTATTCACTGACTACCTTGTATGTGCCAGATACTGTAATAGACACTATAGACACAGCAGTAAAAGCATACAGTGGACACATAGATAACTATTTACTAGATAGCCGTACATGCTAAGGCCAAAATAAAATAGGTGAGAGGGGAGAACAGGGTAGCAAGACTGATCAGGGACCTCATTTTCTAGTGAGAATATGTGAGCAGACTCCTAAACAGTAATGAGACCAAGAAGCAGAATAGCCATTTCAGGCAGGTGGAAGGACATGATAAAGAGCACACAGGGTACAAACGATCTTTAGGGGAAAACAGCAGTTTTTCTTCTTGACTGATGAGGTAAGACTGTGACGAATGGTCCCTGAATAAGTGGATGAATGAATGAAGTAGTGTAAAGTTCTGTGAACAGTCCTCATTGCCAGCTGAGAGAAGAGGGGCTGGCTTTGGAGCTCTTTGAAGACCAAAGTGATGTCATTGGGTTTTCTTTGGTTATTTCAGATTTGGATTGATTGGAGTTTGGTTTTTAAAAGTTATCTATAGCAACAGTATGAACGATGAACCTGAAAGAGAAGCAGAAGAAACCTACTACAAGCCAGTTCTTATTGTAGTGCCTGTGAGAAATCGCAGAGACAGAAAGTTGCGGTGTTTCCAGAGGCCTGCTATCCACTTTCTGATGCCTTTCTGATATTAGAAAGTTGAAGAACAGCTCTGAAGTTTACACTTGGGTGTCTGATTTATGATCATGTGGCCTCTGGAGGAGAAGCATGAAATAATGAATTTGGACCAGCAGAAATACAGATGTGAAAGTCAGGAAACAAGTAAAGGAAGAGTTGGCTAATACCCCCATATACACTTTTAAAGGAACAACAGAAATACTTATTCTTGCCAGGCCCTGCAGAGAACATTAGTAGAATGTGGAGTCTTCCAATGCTATTGGGTTTGATACTGGGAAGGCTATCAGTGACCTCAGGAAGGCCAGTTTCGGTAGACATGGGTAGAGACAGAGCTGAGTTAAAGGGCATGAGACTGAGGTCTTCCAAACAAAGTTGTTGTTGTTGTTGTTGTTGTTGTTGTTGTTCTTCTTCTTCTTCTTCTTCTTCTTCTTCTTCTTCTTCTTCCTCTTCCTCTTCCTCTTTCTCTTCCTCTTTTTCTTCCTCTTCTTCTTTCTCACTCTCCTCCACTTCATCCTCCCCCTATTCTTCCAAAGTTTTGGCTGGACCTATTAGATTTCTCTTCTCCTTTCTTTCTTTCTTTTCCCCACTTGGGGCCTAGAGCTGAATGCCTAAGCCAGGAACATGGTAGAAAGATAAAAAGAGATCTTTGTAGTTCTCGTAGGAAAGAGGCCAGGTACAGAAGCTCCTGGTGCTGATGAGCCAGATAGGACAAGGAGTGATCTCAGTGGCCAGCTGCAGGTCATGTAAGCCCAGAAACCTGTCTCCAGAGGGTGACAGACTTTGTTATCTATTTGAGTGAGGAAGCTTGGAATGGGAAGCTGAATTGGAGTGCACGTTTGCAAGAGTGCTAGGAGAAACGTTCATTTCCTCCAGAAATTCTGCTAGTGAAGGAGTGAGGGGTGGTGGCACAGTGTGAGTCTAAGTCTACAATCTGAGGCAGTAAACTGACCCTAGTTAGAAATTGAAGCTTGTGTGTCTAAATGTTTTCAGGATGTGCACAGGAGGGACTTTGACGTAAAAGATAGTAGAAATGGAGTAGTTAATGAATGAACAGATACTGCCAACAAGATCTGACATATGGGAGGTGGCTAATTAGTATTTGTGAAGCCAAGATGGTGGTTTGGAAGGCATGAGAAGAAAGGGACGCCAGATTTTCTGATAGCTCAAGGTCAATGCTTGGGTCCCATTCAAGGATAGGATCCAGGTAGAGACCAAGGACCTGACTGCATAGAGAAGCAAGACTTCAGATTTGTCTAAGTTAGGAGTTAAAAGCAACGGTCAGGACAAGAGACTCTTGTGTTTTCATCCCTGAGAACTCAGTAAGCTACCAGTCAGTCTCCAAGCCTTGGATCCCAAACACTTTGATCCGGTCACTTGCTTGCATTGCTGTCCCCGCCCACTGGGGGCGTGTCTCGAGGGCGAGCTTGGTGGCTGTTCAGAAGCCTCGAGAGCCATCAGTTCCTACCAGACTCTTTCTGGGGGTGCTGTCCATCCTATGGCCGTCCGCAAGTCTTTAAACGTTTACCCTCTTCCAGGCAATAGTGGTGGCGGCCTGGAAGGGCCAGTGCCCATGCGAGTTGACACCCCAACCTGGTTGAGCAGCCAAGCAGCCACAGGCAGGTTAATGGTGCGGCCACCAGTCATCTGTCCAGGCCCTGAGGTGTGGGGAGTGCCTCTGGGTCCCTCACCTTATGAATTCCGAGGTGAGAGAGCACCCTGTGGAGCTGGTGAAGCAAGGGCCTGGTCCCAGAATTCCTCGGAGGTTGCCTGCCCAGGACCCTACATCGCCCTGAGGTACATGCCAAATTTGGCACTGCCAGAGGACGTTTCAGCTATACAGAAAGAGATGGAGCAACTGGCCAAGGAGCTGAGACAGAAGAGGATGACCCTGGGATATTCACAGGCCGATGTGGGGTTTGCTGTAGGAGCTATGTTTGGGAAGGTTCTCAGTCAGACGACCATATGCCGCTTCGAGGCCCAGCAGCTCAGCCTTGCCAACATGTGGAAGCTGCGACCCCTGCTGAAAATGTGGCTAGAGGAAGTAGATGAGAAGAACCTTCTTGGCATATGCAGAATGGAGATGATCCTGCAACAGGCCCGGAAGCGGAGACGTGCTAGCAGAGAAAGACGCATTGGGAGCAATCTGGAGAAACTGTTCTTGCAGTGTCCAGAGCCCACGCCCCAACAAATCAGCTATATTGCTGGGCGCCTCCGGCTACAGAAGGATCTGGTCCAAGTTTGGTTTTCTAACCGGAGCCAGATGGGCAGTTGGCCAACCAATGATACCTCCCAGAGGGAGAATGTGGGGGCAACTGGGCCTCCCTTCCCAGGGCCACCAGTGTGCTTTCCCTTGGCACCGGGGCTCCCCTTTGATTTCCCCCACTATGGGGGGTCATGTCTTACACCCCTGTACTCTTCTGCCACATTTCCTGTGCGAGGAGCCCTTCTGTCTGCCCCAGCCACCACTTTGAGCCTCCCCAGGCTGTCAAGCTGAGGGGCCTGCTCTGCCGGAGGAAGATCAGAGGATAGAGAGGAGGAGTCTTTGTTTCAGGGTGTTTAGCCTTTAGTTCTCTACCTAAAGAATTTAAACAAGCTAAGTTAGAGGGTGGGAATTCCTTCGGGAGGGTTGGGAAGAAAGTTAAAGCTTATCACTAGCTTCATTTTGTTTTTACCTTTGTTTGTCCCTGGTGTTAGCATTACAATATATTTGTGACTTCAATGTTTGTTTCTCTTTTTTATTATTAATTAAAGACATTCCCATTGTTCCTTATTCTTTCGGGAATTATAAAGAGTTTATTTCTTTATTAACACAGTATAAAGTTCAAAATTCAAGTCACAGAAAACTACTCCAGCAACTTTCATTAAAAACAAACTGACCTTTGCACAGACACAAAGTCCAAGGTAACGGTCACTCCTCTGAAAGGGCCGAGAAGTGGTCGTGGAAGGCAGACACATTTCCCCACCCACCTTTTCACTTGCAGCCAGTGTGCTGGGGTCTCCAGCTTCTCCCGGTATGCACCATCCTGGGCCTTCTTGCTGACCCTGACTTTGAAGTCATTCTAATCTAAACCTGTTCGTTGCTGAGGTTGGCAAGATGGACCACCACAGTCCGCAGCCCCAACTCCGTTTCTTCCAGCTCTTTTGCTTTGTTCTTTGGGAATACCTGGTACTTTGTTTTGAGCTGACAATCAATCTTTTAGTTAGGATCATGCTTGTAATCGTTCCTGGTGGTTTGACTATTGGTGGCCAGAGTTTCTTTTCTGCCTGCTATCCACACTTGCCTCCACAGGACTGTTTCCCAATAGCCTCTTAAGTCCCTTTTCCCCGAAACTGGTTCTTTTTTCAAGTTTTCCACTTTCTTTCTGATCAATTACTAATCCTCCTGTTTGGGGCTGGGGAAAGTTGCTTGAGGATAGAGCCTGCAAAGTCCCTGTGTTGAGGATAGAGCGTGCAGAGCCCCTGTGTTGAGGATAGAGCGTGCAGAGCCCCTG